TTGTCGGTTGTCGTTCAAAAAGAAGTGACAAAAAAAACCCTTATAGCCGGAATTGATGCTCGTAGCCGCCACGATGTGTTCCTTCAGTTCTTGAGGATTTATTGTCCTCTTGCGACCACTTTGCCCGAGTACTCTGAGGTATATCTTCTATGGCTTGTTTTTATGAGTACCTGAAATTGGAAAATTCAATTTTAGTGGCTGAAATGATAATATTTTGTGTTGATTACATGCAATGTAGGTTGTTGGTTGTGTGTAGTGCATATTGTTTATGGATGGCTTACTCTGTGAGTAATGCACCAGATATGCGCAAGATTATTTGCCTAAACAACTTCCACTCAATGAAGATTTTCTTCCGAGAGTGTATTGATCGTGCATAGTTATAATGGATGCTTACTGTATAGGTAATGCAACCACTGTGCATTTGAATTCGTAGTCAATGAAGGTTATCATCCGAGAGTGTACTGATTGTATTCTTTGATGGCCCTGTGATGCATATTGTATTTGGAGGCTTACTTTTAAAGTAATGCAACCAATGTGCATTTGAATTCGTAGTCACTGCCCGCCACTCGATGAAGGTTATCATCCAAGAGTGTATTGATTGTGCTTTTTTATGATCCTTTTATGCATATTGTATTTGGAGGCTTACTTTTACAGTAATGCAGCCACATGTGCATTGAAATTTGTACGCTGCAACCCTTACTCGATGATGATTAGTATCTGAGAGCACCCTATAAATGTCAATTAATTTCTGAGAGTGAGTTCAGAACACTCTGTGATGATAAATTGTGAAAATGACATACAAAAAAGTGTCACATATGCATATACATCCCATCCAAAGAGTTGTTGGGCGTACAAGTTGATTTAGTTATCCTACAAAAGAGATTATTGGTTATTACTTAAACAACCTCTCTAAGTTGAGGTGTTTTTATATAAATAACGATAACTTCTCCTATCATCAAAAGCATGTTCTACTACACCTAAGCATTCATCTATTACTAAAACTCCTCTAGAGAAGTTATAAAGTCCTTCAGGCTTTCTGCTTCATTTAAATCCATCAAATGATCAATACATGTCTTGATCATTTCATGGTCAACTTGAATGTCTTCCGGGAGATTCCCTGACCTTCTCAAAGATTCTTTTCCTAGGTGAGGGATCTTATAATTGTTTGATCCGAGATTAGCCATTATCTCACCAAGGCATGCTTGCAAATTTAGAAAGACTGAGTTTAAAGCGGTATGTGACAGTTGTTCAAATGATTTGTGAACTGCTCCAAGTAAGTCATCTACTGCGGTACCTGGCTGTGTAATTTGTAAAGATTGCAGTGCCCTGAACCATCCTAAGTCATTCACATTTGTGTCTGGGCTGTTCGGTGGTTGAAACACCAAATTGATGTTCCATCCATCAGTACTTGTTGTCTGTCTGAAATTTGGATCAAGATTGTTGATGTGCGGCTTTACGTTATCTTGTTGAATAGTGACATTCTTGTCCCTAATAGTTGGTCACTTCTCCTTTATTGTTGGTATCACCTGTTATAAAGTCACCAATGAGGATTACTCGCGTAATTCTTATTTAGGAGACTTATACTTGTGATCGATATCCCAATGATGAGATGTTTCTGAGGGATAAGAAAGTCTAGGTATAGAAATACAAAGTAAAACAACATACCTTGTTGATTAAAAGTTTCTTTGTGACTTCCTTTGTAATGGATTCTAATGGTTTTGTAACCATTGTCCCGGATGCTCTATTCTTTGAACTTCTTTGGGCTGGAACTTTTTCTGTAAAAGGAAAAATACCTATTTTTCCATCGAATATGCATTCTCCACTGCTTGTATACATCGGTCTAGCGACTGCACATAATAACATTACCTTTGTAATAAATCTTTTACTTTGACAGACCCTATACGGCTCTGGCTCATCGGGTACTAGATAGTATCTTTTCATCTCCCTTGTAAGATTAAACCATTTTTCATCTATGTGCACAACTTGTGTCATGCTTGGGAATTTGATTACTTTCGATGCACTGTCAATCTCTAGTGAGTTGAGGCTGAACTTCAGCCTCTCTATCTTGTTTTTCTCGCTGAGGAAAGGCTTGATAGCATTGGTGTGCGGTTTGATCAACCCCGATTTTGCCCAATTCCCGACAGTACTCTTACTTACATTTATCTCTTTCGCAATATTTCTATAAGTACCTCTCTTGTGCACAACTATATTTTGTAAAGTTGTTTTATCAAACTCCTTCCTTTTAACCCGAGGAAGGTTTGTTTTCTTATTTTTTAAAGAAATGGGCTTACCTAACTAAATTTGCTCGTGTGCTCTCTTCCAAATTCTATGAATGACTTGTCTACTTACACCATACTTTAAATTTGCTTCAGTGATTTTCCCATGAACTTGTTTCCCGTTGGTAGACCCCTGCAAGAGAAATTGTGCAATGCTATTAAGATCATTGGCTGCTAAATTTTGCTTTTTCATATTTTCAGCCATTGTGAAATAAGTTGCTGAAATATATGATCTTATTATGTATATATAGTGTAGTTTAATGGGGGAAATGTGTATTTGGCAATGGAGGGAAAGTTTCCCTTTGATGAGAAGGGTTAAGATGATGTGATTATCCCTCTTTGGGAGGGAAATGAATTATGTTTTGGAGACTGTTTTGTGGATTTTTTTTTTTATCTGTGTTCAATGTGATTTTTATTGTGTAATGTCATGATAATTTATCGCGATTTGTACTGATATATCGCATTGTCTACTGATTTCTCCTTCTCAATGTATGATGTTACAATAAAATTAAGGTTTGTCTACTAATTTTCCGTTCTCGATGTATGATGTTACGGAATGATAATGGTTTATGCACTGTTTTTTTATTTCCTAATTATGCACACTTTTTTTTTTTATGTGCATTGTAAATTAAGATTTTTGCACTGTATTTAATTGTGTAAATTTTAAATTTAATTTTAATTTTTGTAAATTTAATTCTGTAATTTTAATTAGAGGAGAAATTTTATTTATTTCTTAATTTTGCTAGTAATTCTGTAATTATCCCGGTCGTGTTAATTATTCTGTAAATTTTGCTCATTTTTTACACTAATTTTAATTATTTTCCTTGCAAAATACATTAATTACATTACCCTAAATCACCAATTCATTACAAAACAAAAAGAAAAAAAAAGTACTATAGAGGGTAATGGTCTTTTTATATAAAAACGATCTCAACTATCATTAAAATACAATATTTCTTAAACAACGTGCAAAAAGGAAATATCAACATTTAAAATGGATAGAGGGAATATATTATAATTTATAAAATATAAAAAACGAACCGTACGTCCTTTTTTAAGTAATTTTAATTTTTTAAAATATAAATAACAAAATTTTAAAAATATATATTCTTTTTACTTTAATTTAAAATCTTTAAATATAATTAATAAAATTTAAAATAAATTATAAAAGTTATATAGATAAATACTATTATACTAATAATATGTCCATTTGAATAATTTTAACAGAAAGCTGTTTTTACAATAATTTATCCAAACACAAAATTGAACGATTTCTGTTTTTGCCTTCTGCTTATTTTTTAAGTCGATCCAAACGGGCCCTTAGCGTATGATTACTTTGATTAAAGAAAGAAAGTGATACTTTGAAGTGGAACATACGAAAATAGTAAAAAGAGTATTTTGAATTGAAACGAGAGGGATATTAAGTACATGTAAGTTTAGTGTTAGTATAAGAAATAATACTCTCTCCATCCCAAAACAATAGGGACATTGACGGTGGGTGTAAAAGTATTTCTAAAATACTAAAATGTCTCTACTTTATATAATTATTGTAAAAAAAATGAGGATAATTTTGTAAAAATGTGGGGAGTTAGTTACCAAAAGTGAAAATAAGACTATTGTTTTGAGACGGACAAAAATGACAAAATAAAACTATTGCTTTTGGAACAGGGGGAGTATTATATTTTGAATTGTTAACTTTTTGTGAGTGCGAATATATATATTAAAATATACCTCTTCCGTCCCGCGACAGATGACTCATTTTTTTGTCCGTCCCAATGAACATTTTTTGTTTTTAGTAAATTTATTCATTTTAAATATATTTAACAAATATAAATCAATTAAATTAAATTTTTAACCTCTTACACTCAAAATACCTCTATTTTTATCTATCTCCTTACTAAACAAATATTTTTATTCATATTAAAAACTTTTTATTTTTTATAAAATTGGTTTTAAGTTAATTATAAATAAATAAATAAAAAAATTTTTATTGATTTGTATTATATAAAATTTTATTCTCTACAAACATTTTGTAATATTCATATTGTATGTATTTTATTAAGATATAATGCTAAAAATATTTAAAATATTAATAAACTACCCATGTAAAAACTAATAAAAATAATATCTCAACTTATTATTAATAATTTACTAATATATTCTACCTAAATTACCATATCTCTAACTAAATGAGCTATCTTGACCGAAACGAAAGGAGTATTATATAAGTTTATGTATGTATTGCATTATATTTTTAATAATATTAATAAAAAAAAAAATTTATTAAATGAACACTCTTTTTAAATTTAAAATATATCAATTTTTTTATTAATAAAATTTAAAATAAAATAATTATTTAATATTCTATGATATAAATAAGTATTAATTTGTTATTTTAAAATTATTTTAAAATTTCATATTTTTAAAATATATATATTTATATATATTGGGTTTCGGATTAGATTAATGGAGCCCACCTTGCCTATATATACATAACTATAAATTAATATCTATCTAAGATATTAGATTATAAAAATGGGAAGGTTTATTGCAAGATCCGTTGTCGTCCAGCGGTTAGGATATCTGGCTTTCACCCAGGAGACCCGGGTTCGATTCCCGGCAACGGAACGAAAAAATTTTTTTTACTCGTATTCAAAAACGAAGTTATGTTTGGATTCTCTCCTCTTCTGTGTCTGTATGTACACATTCGAATGAGGTGGTTGGTGGTAATAATGAGATAATTAATTAAGGCCCCCCATAAGAACCAAGTTTTTCTCTTCCTTGTTAAAAAGAAAGAAATAACAATGGAAGAAGAACCATTATATAATTAATATATAGATATATGGCTTAGTTAAATTACATACATACACATTAAGCAATGAAAGAATTTCAGGAAAAACAAGCACCACCTGCAAACACAGACACACCAAACAAAAATTAAATAAATATCCATTTGAATAATATATCAAAAAAATTTAATGCGGTTCATCAAACCCTACTTAAAATATATATATATATATATATATATTATAAAATATCTTACACTTTTTGAAAGTTCTAATAATATCCATAACAATATTTTTCTGTTAAACAAATCACATCAAATAAATAACTTATGCTATTTCCAGAAAACCCAAAACTCTTAAAACCTCTATTTAAAATATCATATAAATTAAATTATTTACTGTCCCCACTACCATATTAAAATATCATATACATTTAAATTTATATAAAAAAATCAGAATTAAAACATAAACCAAACTAATTCTAATCTCGAGAGAGAGAGAGAGAGAGAGACAGAGACAGAGAGAGCTTGTTAAATATATACGGTAAACAAGTCCTACTGTGAATCCATTCCTCCTAACTAGTGAAATACTCCCTAGATAGTTATTGAAATATAGTACGCACCCACCTATAAAAGCATATGCTCATCATCATATCATACTACACACAACAAATATATCTAATATGATATAAAATTGAATGAACAAGCATAAGCATGTATGATGTAAGCATACCTTGTTGTATTAGTAAACTGGTGTGTGTATGCTTATGTAATGATGCATGTGTATATCCTTCCTTGAGTTGAGTTGAGTTCTAAGTGAAGGCAAAAATCCTGTCAGCAATCTTTGTTCGGCACACAGGGCATTCCGCGCAAGCAAGGGAGCATGATTTGCACACTGCAACAGTAGTACGTGCAACAGTAACCAACCAACCAACAAAATAAATAATAATGGAAGTGGGAGAGAAGAGAAGGTGATGATAGACAGGCTCACAGCAAAAATGTCGACAAGGGAGGAGCATCGCGGCCGCCGGGGATTCGAAGCATACTTTGCACATATGGGAGTTGGCGTCATTGCTGCCGTTGTTCCCACTGTACCTCAGTTCTTTCTCTTTTATCTCCTGCATCCGTGCCTGAAAGAAGTTGAAGTTGAAGTTGAATTAGAAAGACTGGTGAAAAAGGAAAATATGGATTAGAGGGAGCAGGAGAGATTTTTGTACTTTGAGGCGAACAACGAGAGGTTCTTCCTTGGGGGTGTTGGAAGCAGGTTCTTGGTTGAGAGTTTCTTTGATCGAAGGCGGGGTTGAATCGGCTTGGTCGCAAGGAGGGTCAGTGCAATCGACTTTTACATCACTTACTATGGGGGGAGTATCTGCATCTGCATCTGCATCTTCATTCTGCATCATCAGATTGAGCTTCGATTCTTGGATGGCGGTGGCCTCTTTCTTGAGACGTGCAACGAGCACCCACATGTTTGCCAGATCGTTTTCTAGAGTGGTCTCTCTCTTCTTCGACTCTTCAAACTTCCTGCGGTACTCATCTTCCAACAGTTCCCTCTCAGCCAAGGCAGCCTCGAGAGCAGCCTCTCGTTGTTTCCTCGCCTGCAGCTCCATTTTAAGATCATCTGGATCAAGATTCCAGGAATCGAGAACATCAGCAGCATCATTTGCTCTGCCTGAAATGCGACCCCTACGACCAATACTTCTTTGAGCATCATTGTGCTTCCGGGCACCTCCATTACCAACAAGAACCCCAGGAACTCTAGAATTGAACTCTCGTGCAGCCTGAAGCTCCTTCGCCAGTTTGGCATTTTGTAGCGACAGCTTGGTGACTTCGCCTGTTAAATTCTTTAGCTCGATTGCAGCAGCAGAAGCTAACTCTTTGGCATAAGATGCCTCCTCCAATAATTTCTGATTCTGAACACGTAACCCACTATTCTCCTCTACAATATGAACGTGCTCGAGCTTTAGTTCCTCGTTTTCAATTTCCTGCCACACCAAAACTGTCCTTCATCAACATAAATATTAAAAATAATGATCATATCCTGGCACAAAACTCTTATTAATCATTAATCAATCACACACATAATGGCCAGAAGGATGTTCAACTGTTCCTTTCCCCACAAAATGAAGTCAATATCTCACACATTGAACTGTTCTGACAAAAACATACCTGCAGCTGAATTTTCTTTCTCAACTCATCAATATATTCATCAGTTATGTCTTTTTCGGGAAGGGATGGCTTCCGGTCACCAGAGACAGAAGCAAGTTGCTCCTCCAGGCACATAATTTTCTCTTGTAATTCCCTGTTTTCTGTGCTCTGATAGAGAAAGAAAAATGAACTCCCATAGATGGGTAAAGGAGTAAATGAATGAAAGCAAGAAGTAGCATATAAGGCTGTGCTTTCAGGTTTTTGATCCGGTTTTTACTATTCATAAATTGTTTGCCTCCAAAAACATCACATTAAACACTTATTTTTTATTTTTTAAAAATTAACCTAAATATTAATTTTACATTTAAAACATTACATTAAACTATTATTTACAATTCTAAATCCAAAAATTAACTCTCGAACCTACAGCCAAAGGCACCTTAAAAGTCAGGCTAAAATTTTCAATTGTTCTAAATTGAAAAGGAAGGCAAACAAAATCAAGTTCATTTACAGCTTTGATGAAATTATTAGGGATTACCTTTGTTTGTAGTTGCTCTTGAAGGACACGGTTATCAGCTGACTTAATCTGCAATAAAATGTTAATTGGGGTTTATGAGAGAATTCAGAAGATCATTTGTTGAAACAGCATATCAGATTCTAATAACATCCAAATCCACAAAGTACAAAAAGCAACCTCAAGCTCAAAACCCTTCTCACTGCACTGTGCCATCAGTTTTGAGATGGTCTGTTGCAAGGGAAGAAAACATTCTTTAAGATCTGGTATAACAAGTACCAAATAAGGTGACTTGAAATATAATCAACGTAAAAGATTAAAAGAACCTGCTGCATTTCAACCATAGATGCATTAGCTACTGAAGCTTCACCGCCCTCAACTATACGATGTTCTAAAACCCTCATCTGCCTTCGCTTTTCTTGGATTTCAAGCTCCAAGTTTTGAATCTGTATCGGTATTGGTAGTTTTTGAAAGTCAGAATTTATGAGATCCTTATCTCAGAAAATTTTAGCAGACCATCTACGAATTTAATTAGGATAGACATACAAACGAAACAATACTATGCCCTTTAGTCTTAGTTATGCACAACTCTCAGATGATTCAAGCTCGAATCCAATATATATAGAGTCAGAACTAGTCATTTTTCTTGAATTTCTAACTTCTTTTGTTTGAATATAGAAGGTAACTGCTTGACACATTTTTAGCGTCAACTAGAAAGAAAAGATAATGCTGTAGAATGGAAAGACGGAGATTCAGAAAATCTGAAGAAAGTTATTGATTTGTTAAATGATAAAATTTAATAAAATCCAGTGAACTCTTATGGAACTCTTGTTAAAAGACAAAGGAACATAAGTAGGAGTGTTAATTGTATAAAATAAGCCCAAAGTGAAACCAGAGACAATGACCAGATGATGGAGAATACCAGGCAATGACCGACCAGATGGACATTGAATACACATGTGCCTATGGTTAAAACTAATAAGCAGAAATTGAGGAATTCGAAAAGAAACACGCAAACATGACATACACATTAAGATAGTCATACAATATATAAAAAGGATAAATGCAAATTACCTGGGTTTTGTGGATTTCTGGATCATCCACAGATTGCTCTACCAAACGCTTTAGGGTACTGGTGCCAAATGCAATCTCCCCAGCAAGCATTTTCACTTGCTCAACAAACAGATCCATATGATCTGACATTGTGACTTCATCCTAAAACAAGTTGACACAATAGAAAGCGTTCTTTAGATGTGATAAAGACAACATATTTCAGTTATTTACAATATCATGGATCCAAGTTAAATAATTGATTATAAACAAAGTGTTCACCCAAGCAACCACCAAGTGAAGCATAAGATGCCAAGCTTTAGAAAATCCTAGAAATAAAGTCAATCCTCTCAACACCTATGCATAACACAGGAAGAAGGATATGTGTGGGACCTAAACAAGCTACATATTGCAAAATCTTGGTATATATTCCAAGCTTCACGGATTTTATAAAGAAAGTATCTTGTCAAGCCTAAGTTCTAAAACTAGCAGCATTTGTCTGCAGAAGACAATGATTTGAATTTGGATATTGATAGCATGATATTACAATATCAGAAAGAAACCCAAAAACAAAAAGAGTTCTAGCAGAAAGGACTTAGAACACATACTATAGGCAGTTTTGTAGCACAGGAAGAACCATTAATAAGTTCCCCCGCTTGAGTTGTTTCAGTAATTGTACTGCCAGCTTGTGAAATATCATCATTCCATTTGCTGGATGATCTTCTATGTTTAAAATGATAAACATCAGATGGTATAGTTAAAGCAGAAGATGAGGAACCTAGCGGATTCTCGCCATCAAGTTTTAGAGAACCATCATGCAGAACATCCAACTTCTGTTAGACAAGAGAACAGGAAAATGGTAAATGAACGGTATCCCATCTAATTCTCTTCCAGATCTATTACGGAATATAAATGGGTAATGTCTTGGAGCATTCAAGTACAAAAACATAACAAAAGTTTACTTCAATAACCAAGGAATATCTCGAGATATTTAGAGAATGATTGCACGACACAATCATCTAATCAAAAATAAATATGTACACATACAATGGCCTGAAGGCAAAAAATGAGAATTCTGAAATATATATATATACATGGAAATAAGCCAATTAGAAATAACTACTTACATCCTCCTCATAAGCAGAACGACTTCGTTGATGAGAGGGCACATCATCCAAGTTTCCTGGCATTGTGTTTTTCGATGAAACAAGTATTAACTTTGTTAGCCTTTGAATTCTGCTCATTAAAGCTGCCTTAGCTTCTTCTTCCTCCTCCAATCTTGACTGCATTTTAACTTGTCCTTCTTCCAACTAAACAATAGAAATAAGCACAAGTAATAAGACAAATTTCCTTCTCAAGTGACTAGAAATAAATAAAAATGGAAAATTGAGTCTTAAACTGATGTCAGAACTTTAATTGAGAAAGTTTAAACATAAAAAAATAAAAGATACCTGCTGTCTCAAGGCTAAAATTTCTTCATGATTGACACCAACAAGCATTCCCTTCTTGAATTGATCGAGTTCTTCTCTGAGACATGAAATTTCCCGTTGATACTTCTTGATCAAAGACTTTTCATCAATTATCTGAAACAATAAAAAAGAATTTAGCATTGAGTTCACATATCTATGAGATACACACTCAAAACTCACACAACAAAACTCACCCGATTACGTGAGGCATATATTTCAACATGCTTTGCCCTGCTGGCAAACTTCAGTGTATTATGGGTTTCCTCCAAATTACTTGATGCAGGAGTAATTGTACAAATAAGCTGGGGAAATAGGAAGTGGAGTTATTGGACTTTAACCATTGTTAACTAGCCAGTTAGACAACTTGCTAATAAGTAGTTAAATACCAAATACAGAATTTACAGTAGCAACGAAAAATATATCTATGATAACAAAAAGAAAAAATGCAATAGAAGGTGTTAAAATGAACATTACGCAAAATATATATATTAATGTTATAAGCATTCAATTAAGAATAGGAAGTTATATTGCAATATTAATGTTTTCTTGCTCACCGATACATGTCCATGCCCACTGAGAGAGGATTGAAGAAGGCGGGTGAGCTTTGAATCTCGAAAAGGAACATGGGATGCCTTCCCTTCACTAAGTTTTCCAATAACCTAGACAGCATAAAATATATTCACATATATCAAGTACTGGTAAACAATAACCAGGTTACACCATAAAAGAACTGTAATGCAAAATACATTGCTAAAATAATAATATATATATATATATATAGAGAGAGAGAGAGAGAGAGAGAGAGAATAAAGATTATTTCACATGGCATCAAAGACTTCTTATGCTTACAGTCCCAAGTGTCAGAAGACTTTTATTGATGTAGGATCCTTCCTTTCTCCTTAATCCAGTCGTTTCAGTTTTTGAGCTTTCAGATCCAGCTAAATCAATTAAGTTCTAGATGACAGAAGACAATTTCCACACAATTTCAGAATACATCCATATTGCAATGCCATATGACTTAAAGCAGCATGTTTTTGTTTATTGAAAATGGTGGATAAAGGGGTTCACCAGCTGTGAAAATATAACCCCATCGTATTCATCTCCGTGCGCACTACTTTCAATCATCTGCAAATACGAACAATTTTGGAAATGCATCACATGCGCAAAATAGAATGAAGTAGGATGGAAGAAGTCAAAATGTAAAGGAACATAATTAGTAGGCACACATACAAACAAAGGTTATAAAACATGTATATGCTATAGCCGTGAAATAAATGCATTCATTATAGATGCCAAGGAAAAACCATATAATTGCAAACTACATTACAAGTTTCAATTAAGAGCACAAAAAATAAACATACCAATGTAAATATTGTATGACTACGGCTACTGAAGAGATTATAATTATTTGATCCAACATGTCGATGCTCTGCATATAGGTTAAAATAAATGTCAGAAAGTGATTAAAATTTCAATCAGTCAATGCTTAAGACCTAACATCTAAAGATACAAAGAAAAAAACCATCGCGATTTTATGAACTTGTTCAGAGAACAAAGGTGAAGTACAAGAAGAAAAATACCTTCCCCTGCAGCAATAAATGAAAGAGCATGTCCGGGGGACAAAACAACTTCTTCCTTTAATCCCTCAACATAGGTTCCCTATGCCCATTCAGCAAAGGCAAATTATGATATTGAAATGAGAAATAAATTTCAATAAATGTTTTCAGCTATTCAATGAATGCTAATTAAGCAATTTCAGGCACAGTATTCCAAATGAAGACCAAAAGAAGTATTACTGCATGAGATGTTTCTAGAATGAAATCAAAGCTAAGAAGAGCCCTATGAATCAAGAATAACAAGGAAAAGGCAGTTAGTGAGGCAAACACCTGCACGTCTTCTCTAACTCGCAAATTCTGACCAGTTGGATCCAGCAAGTCGTTAATCACCTGGTAACAGGTATATATAAAAACAAGTAAATCACATGACTTCGAATGTAAGAATGAAATTATTCTGAACCATGCCAAGTTGGGAACTGTGCGTTCACAATTTCATTAATTCCAAAATTAATAGATGGGCATATCCACTAAAAAGGAAAGGCTTTCCAAGAAATATTAGCACAAAAGCTTTTTCTACTAGAATGCTAGAAATAAAATGAATTCATTGAATTGATCATAAATACCCGACCTCTATGGCACATTTTCCAAGTTTGGAATATGATCATTTCTTTTGTACATACCTCATTGTAGATTTCAATGTATGACACTCGAAGTAAGAATTCACGACCTGGGGTCTGAAAGAAAATTAATACCAGCAGTTATATGTCAGTACAATAGACCCATAGTTTCCAAATATATCATAAAAGAAAAAGGTGGAAAAAGTAAATCCATTTTTTATGGCTGGATAAGTGGATACAACCAACCAAGACTTAACTGAAATGGGATAGAAGATTCAAGCATACTTACATCTTGGATGATGCTAAAGACATCTTTTATAGCCAATGGTATGATGCCAGGAGAATATTGGTCTCCCTGGTAAGGAATGCATAGAAACACAATAAGAGCGATATTGAACTATTTCACTAATGACTTGGGGCTTGTTTGACAACATCACTTACCACTTAGTAACTCAGAACGTAATATTACTAAATCAATTTAATACAAAAATAAGTACATGCATAACTTATTCACTAAATGGGATTGTAGGTGGTGGAAAATGAAACATAATACTGTTAAGCAATCAATATAAAGTGCACTAGAATATATAATCTGAATCTGAAAACTGCATATGAGAAAGTTTTCACAAACTTTTTAACAGATAATTTAGCAACTCATAAGTCAAACATTGGGCATCCCCATCACTCACTTTTACCATTTGAGCCCTCACTTAACCTTGAAATAAAATAAGTTGACAATTTTATGAAATATAACAGTGTAGTCTATACAGCATAAGAGACTTGCAAATGTTGACTTCGGAAATTGATTATAACACGTATCACAAATGCAAAACCTAATTGGTAACTGTTTCATTGCCTTATTTGAGATTAGACATTGATAATTACTTCTTTTTGTTTTAAACGACATAGAATGTCGCTTTTACTTTGCTATGCGTTCCATAATAAGAATTATATAGCACGACTCATGACACCTATCATGAACAACAATGGTACTAAATGAACTATTGAAACATTTTCAACTTGTACTTGTTACTTCCTGTGAACTAAAATGTCACATGTAAGGCCTAATGGATTCAATTTTAGCCAAGAACTCCATACACTTTTATAAACTTTGATTCAATATACTCCAAATAACAATGCACATGAATACTTTAAGTTGGCACAATAAGCTCACAATTATTAATTGAATGATGCAGGCATGCAGCAGTCATGTTTTAAGTTAATGCAATAAATGAAATCCGAGACAACTGACTCATTGTACTATGCAAGATGTTTTATAAGATTCAAACCAGCCATTTGACTTTCTTGGAAAGATGGAGATTTATGATAGACTTCATTAACTAGGCACAAAGCACGGATTCATCATAATGAGGATTTAACATACATGCATGGTGTGCGTCTTCCCGCTGCTGGTAACACCATAGGCAAATACAGTTCCTGCATGATACCAAGACACACAAAAATATTGAGCATCAGGAACTGTCTGCAAGTAGTGTAATTAGTTGTGGTTGGAATTGAGCTAGGATGCAAGGAACAAAAAAGATACATATATATAGGCAAGCATACACACATTTAGTATGTTTAAGTTCATTATATACATTTGCAGTGTATGTTTAAACATTGTCTATGCCTAGAACTTCCATGGCTTCCATGAAGTTAGTTATGACCAAAGTGACAAAAAGCCCATCATTCAACATAAGAATCAAAACAAAGCTCAAAAAATCGTACAAGATGTAGCTAAATTTATAGGTTTATCATACCATTTATACCATCCATTGCAGCCTTGACTACTGGTCGAGCAGCTACTTCATACACTTCTTCAGTATTAGTATCAGGCCCGAAAACCCTATCTGCCACAGGAAATTATGAAACATAGTAATGTTATCAGTTCTAATATAGAAAAGACTAAAGGGAGGTAAAGCTCCATGCTTTCAGCCTATCGCGTTATCTAAATTTTGTATAGCCAAAGAGTCAATGTCACTCAACAGTTCAAATAACGTAAGAAAAGAAAAAAAGGGAACGAAAAGAAAGGGGGAAATTCAGCAAAGAAGCTTTTACCAAATGCATAAGCTGTCATTGGATTATACTCATTTCTCACGATTTTGTCGCCATCGGCATACCACGCGATCTCATCTCCTCTGTGATATTCTCGATCACTGTCACGCGATAGAACAACGCAAAATGTCATGTTAGAATTTCCTCCCCGTACACCCAGCCCAGCCCAGCCCAGCCCTAGCTTCAAACAATCTCCCTGTTCAGAGGATCTCGTGCAATCAAAATCAGATCTATCATTAGGTGTAAACTGACCTCATAGGCCGGAATCTTATTGTGACGGAAATGCTATCCCCCGATCTCGGAGCTTCGTCCATCGGCTCGGCCACCAGCTGGTCTTCAGCAGCCGGAAAACTCACCGGCGTGTGACCTACAGCATAATCGCCTCCATTCCAGCTTGGCGTCATGGATCTAGACCCATCCCCAACAGCACCGCCACCGACACCACCGTAAAACGACGTCGCCGAAGATGAACACGACCGAGGCAGAAAGCGACCGTTGATCATTGAAGATGAAGACGAAGTAGATGAGTACGGACTCGTAGGTTTCCGAGAATGAAACGGTGAACTGCTCCTTCCTCTAGAAGACGACGCCGCCATTCCCCAAAATCAAACCCCAAGCTACAACCACTAACCAGTAACCACTCCTTGAAGCTCCTGCTCCTGCTCCTGCTCCGCTCCCAGCAATGCCAAATCGCACATATAATAATACAATAGAACCGAAAAAGCAAATCAAAAAAACCAAAACTGTGTCAGAAAGCACATGGCGTGAACCACCACCAAAGCGAGCGAGCGACATTGCTCCATTCCTCCTCACTCCGGAATGCACCTTTGCCAATGAGTATGCGTACGTATTGGCTCACACACAGACACACGCACGTGTATCTGTGTGAGGAAAAGTGGGGGAACGGATATCTTCTTCTTCAAGACAATAGCATAAAGAACCACCGAAGTAGAGAGAGATGTAGAGAGAGAGAGAGCGGTTTTTGAATGACGGAAGAAGAACAGTAAGGGTAGACTTGTGAGGACGGTGTGGTGTGACTCAACCCAAGGCCGTGTTTGGTTGTTTGTTCTTTTCATAAATGAAAAAATATATATATATTTACAAATTCGAATTTTAATTTGTTTGATTTAAAATTAAGGGTTTTGGTTTAAATTTAATATTATCATAATATATAATAAAATATTTTGTGAAAAGAACTACCATCTTTGGTCCTGCTTTAAAAAGTTTCATTTATTTTTAAAAAAATAGTATTAATGTTTTATACAATGATATTTTTAAAAAAGAAATTATATTTCCTACTCTAAAAAATTTCATTTATTTTTAAAAAAATAGTATTAATGTCTTATAGAATGATATTTTTTTAAAAAAAATTATATAAATATAAAAATATTTTTAATGTTAAATTGAATATATTTTTATTGAAAAATACAGAATAAGTTTTATTGCAAAAGAAACAAAGTTTGTTTGTTTAATAAAATAATTTAAAAAAAAAATTAGGTGAATATATTAGGAGTTGTATAAAAATATAAAAATAATAAATATATATAATATATTACTTTTTAAAAAATATATACATATTTGAAAATATATATTTTTCAAAAAAAAAAAAATATACCCTTATATGGAAGTCAGGATGATATTTTTTAAATAATTAATATTTCTTTATTTCAAAGTAATTGATTTTTTTTTTATTAATGTCATCCTATTTATAAGAAAATTATATTTAATTAGTTAATAATAAGGATTTATAACATTATTTTTTTATTATTTTATATAATTAATAAAATTAATAGTTTTAAAGTAAATTTAATATTTATTATTAAAAATTTAAAATATGTATTCAAATATTTTCAAAATTATATTGCAATTAAAATATATGCGATATGGATATCGTAGATAATGAGTGGAATTTTGGTTTAGGTTTTTAGTTTTGAATTGTAAAATTTTAAATTGAAATAGTTGTTTGATATGATATAAATATGTATTGATGTGATATTTCGAATATAGAATTAGATTTTAATGTAGTATAATAGATAAAAATTAGGTGTTTGATTTGATATTTTTTAAGAAAGAAAATAAAATAGTAAAACCAAAACAAAAATCGCACAAGTAAACATACATGAAATTTTCTATTATACAAATAAATAAAAAATATATATATTTTTATTTATTCATAATTAACCTAAACTAATTTTATAAAATATATGAAGTTTTAAATGTATAATAAAATATTTATTTTTTATGAGAGGGATAAAAATAAAAGGGTTTTAAATGGATACTACATAATAATTTATAATGTTATATATTATATAATTAATTAAGTTAATTTATATTTATTAATTATATTTTAATTTACTATATTTTAATTTAGTAAATTTTATCCAAAATATGTATTTCATGAAACATGGAAAAATTAGAAAAAAAAAGTAGAGAATATGTCATTGATACGAATGAGAGGGAATATTAATTAATTAAGCGGCAACCTTAAGGATATTTGTCTCCTAACTAGTATTTAATTTTAATACTATGTTTTAATTATTTGTTTATTCATTTGATTGCTTTTTAACAAAATGATACTACCTTCGTCTCACATACCGTGTCTGCTACACTATAGACACGGTATTTTAGGAAGAGTGTAATAGTAGATAATTAAGAATGTATTAGTGAAAATAATTATTCTATAATGTAAATAATTATAAATTAAGATTAAGATAATTAATTAGTTTAATTAAATTTTTTTAAAAATTAAAATGAGATTAAAGTGTGTAATCATTTTTCAAAAAAAGAAAGTGACATGGTACGTGGGACGGACAGAAACGACAAGGTGGACATAGTATGTGGGACGGAGGGAGTAATAATTTTTTGATGAATTCACTCAGGGTGTGTTTGTTTTGAGATTTGGATTTTGAATTGAAATTTGAATAATAAAATAATTGAATTTGAATAATTGTATGATATAATATAAATAGGTGTTGATGTAATGTTTTGAATGTAAAATTAATTTTTAATATAATATAAAAAATAAAAAATAGGTGTTTGATTTGATTTTTTTAGAGAGAAAATTTGGATGAATAGTGGAAGTTTGGGAAAGTCTCCCAAACAAACACACCCCAATTGTACACTCCCTCCAGAAACCTATGATTTCAAAGTATCGTAGAAAAATGAGAACTATCACATACATGTTATTCATGTCTATATGCATTAATAAATTTTCTTGTTTTTCTTAGTTTACTAATTGCAATCAATTGTGTATGAGTCTAACAGATAAAACACAATATGCTCCGATTAATTTATACATTTCGATTATTACTTTTCGAGACTTCACTAACCTTAATAGGACAATAATACAATACCACGTCATTGTGCTTCAAGAGACTAACTAAATACCCCCACCAGATGATTCATGTGCCTCTGTTACATTTTCTGATACTTGTGACATTGAATTATCATATACAAAAATGAGTTATCAAATACTCATTGTTCGTGTTATTTACCACAACATATTCAGATTACAACTGCAATTTTATGCAAGTGTAGTATATCAAGCACGACAAAAGTAATTACATGCCAAACGGACGTCCAAAACAAAATAAAAAAACTACATCTTCAAAAGGACTATGGTGGCCGGTCTTTACAACTTCTTCCGTTCCACTCGAGACGACCACAACAACTGTATTTTTGTGGATGCTTCTAAAGCTATTACATGAAGCTCGCCTTGATATGAATAAGTTATCAGCAATTTCAAACCATTTTCACTCACTTCCATCAAAGCCAATCAAACCTACATTGAAATTCACAATTTTGTTTTGAGTAAATTATATAACACCCTTTTATATTTTAGTAAAAATGCACAAAACACCCTGTATTTTATTTATTGCATGAAATCCTCTTGTGTTAATATAAAATTTGCACGAAACATCCTCCTTGTCCAAAACTGATGTTTGATTTTAAATAAAGACCTAATTACGCAAGTTATATACAAATAAAAAACATAAAATATTTTAAATATTTTTTTGAATAAAATAATTAAATAAATCATTGATCAATAATTTATTTTATATATTTTTTTTTTGTAAAAGTCAGATAACTATTTTGTCTCCAAAAAATTATAAAACGAAGGATTAATCAATTATTTATTTATTTTATTCAAGAAAATTATGTAAAATATTTTACTTTTTTATTTGTATACAATATGTGTAATTTAGGTGTTTATTTATAACCAAATGTCAATTTTGGACAAAGAGGATGTTCGTGCAAATTTTACATTAACACGGGGGAGGGAGTTTCACGAAATAAATAAAACATATGATATTTTGTGCATTTTACGGGAGAGTGTTCTATAATTTACCCTTTTGTTTTACCATCTACAATTATATTACCAAAACAACAAATTTAACTACAAAAAATGCTAAAATCAAATGATTCTACATACTTTTAGTATTTTAAGTCAAGTTCCTCTTTTGCTATAGATATCGTATGACCATAGACAATGACTACATCTGCTAATTAATGCATCACATAAATCAAAATTGTCAATAATTAAATAGTTGTTTATTTTAAATTTTGACAAAATCAAAAGTAAATGCATTGATAAAATCATTCATTTATGAAAATTTTCTTACTTTTGCTTTAAAGGCAAGCCGTTTGAGCAAGAAAACTATTTGATAATTGTCATCCAAATTCTCAATAATAGCCAACCAAATCAGAGATGCTAGCTATGAACTACATTGATTTGAATAGTATAGAAACAATTGATAAGAACCTTCAATCAAACAGACGTATTCAACATAGGAAATGAGTTACATTTCTTGAAGATGGCTCTCAGATCTTAGTTAACATATGAAAATGAGTTATTATCCACACAATCCTCAATATCCAATCGCTTGAAAAACCAAATATTTACAAATGGTGTTTGAATAAATTTATAGATGGATATCTCTGAAAGTTTATTAATTGTGAGCTGAGTATTTTAATTTCTCACAAAATAACTAATTTTACCCCTAAACCAAAATATAAACATAAATTTATTTATGTGAAATTATTTTATTAATTCCAAAAAATAAATATTTGTGATATACTTTTAGTAACAAAATTTATATCGGTTTAATACTCACGCATATATCCCCACTTAAAATATATACGCTCAAACGTGCTATCAATATAGTCATACAAGATTGTTGTAATCGATTATGATTTTTTAACGTACCCAAACTTGTGTGATATGCACTGCTTTGAAGTGGGGCATGACAACTAATTCTTTGACATTAGGATAAAATTTTTCTTGAGACATTTTATCGAACGTATTACGTGCATCATTCAAATTTCACCTTACTAATATTCATAAGCGTATTCCCAAGGAGAGAGATATGAAGAAAAAAAATTAAGTATAAATCTAAATTGAAAGAAGCTATTGAATCCAAAAAAAATAGATAAGTTCTTCTACTTAAAGCCATAATATTTCATTCCCAAAATAATAATAATAAAAAATATTGTATACACACCTGAATGTTAGAACGTGACGGAAATAAGAGATGCATGAGATACTCGTTGATCTAATTGGTACATAGAGAAAAATCTTTTGAGACAATACCTCCAACACATTTGTCCACCGGAATGAGAGGAGAATAATGAAACTAACTGTGAGATAAATTGGAAAAATGAGCAAAAAATCAGAAAACTAAGCGAGAAAATCGATCAGGAGCAAAAATGTGATTTAAGCTTTGAGATGAGATTAAATATAATAATATTTCTAAAGTAAGGAGTGCAAATAAAAAAAAAAAAAATTAAAATGGGGACTTAATTTCAATAAAATAAGAGGCAAAGAGATTTTATCTCAATAATCCAATAAAAATATATAATTTTTAACTATTTCACAAAACAAACATATTCTTAGTTATTACTCTCGTCCAGAAACTAATATCCTACTTTTCTATTTGGAATGTCCAATAATTATTGTCATTTTTCTATTTTTATATGCAAAATTTATTTTTTTACTTTTACTTTATCTACTCTTTTTTTTAATA